ACAATAATCAATATCATCATGGCGGGCGGCGGCGGCGACGGCAGGACCAGGCTGGGGCCGGTCCAAAGGCCTCAGGGGGCCGCATCCGGCTCCCGGGCCTTAGGTTGCCTACCCCTGGTGTAGTGGTTTGAGTGTTGGGCTACAACTCTGGAGACCAGCATTCGAATCCCTGCTTAGCCATGAAACCCACTGGGCGACCCTGGGAAAATCACAAATTCTCAGCCTCAGAGGAAGGCAATGGCAAACCTCCTCGGAACAAATCTTGCCAAAAAAAAACCCTATGATGGGGTTGCCATAACTTGGAAATGACTTGAAGGCACACAACATCAACAACAAAAGGAGAATGCACCTCATTTTTGACTTGAAGCATATTTCTAGAATGGGAATTTGGCTTGAAAACACTCTGCATTCCCAGAGTATCTTGTTTTAAAGAGATATTAGGGCTGTGCAGATGGACGACTCTGGGCCACCCCTGCTAGCTGCGGATCGGGGCCACAGCAACTGCACACTGCGGCCCCGATCCTTTTTGGCGACCCTGAAAGAGCGGCAAAATGCTGCTCCTTTCCGGGGGCATATATATATGTGTATATATATATATATATATATATATATATATATATATATATCACAAATTAAAACAATATTTCAATCAGGTTTAAAACAGGTTTAACCAGATTTAAAACTCTTAAAGTAAGTGGCCAAATGATACTGACAGCCTTAGGGGTTATTCAGACAGTGAAAATAATCTGGGTAGAATCTAGGTTGAATCTTTGTTGTTCACATGCATTTTGAATGCAACCAATTAAGTTTTGGGGCAGGGGGCTGCCAAAAAGCCCACTTAACCCAAGATAATTGATGCCAGTTTTTTTTCCCAGTTTTTCTCCTACAATGAGTATTTTATTATGTAAAATGGCACTTTTCAAGCTATAAAGAGGAGGACCAGCAGAGTTTTATCCAACCCAATGTGCCACAAACTGGCATTAAATTTGTGCCCACTGGTTACAAACGTGTTTCTTTCTTTCCTGAAAACTTACCAGGGACTGTCCAGCCAATGGAGACTGGTACTGGTCCAGGAACTACCACTTCATGTTGTTGTTGTACACCTTCAAGTTATTTTCAATTCATAGCAACCCTAAGGCAAAACTATCATTGAGGGTTTTTGGGCAAGAGTTGTTCAGAGGAGGTTTGCATTTGAGGCTGAGAGCTTGTGACTTGCCCAAGGTCACCCAGTGGGTTTACATAGCCAACCGGGAATTGAACCCTGGTCTCCAGAGTCGTAGTCAACACTCAAACCACTATGCCACACTTGCTCTGATACCACTAAGCCAGGGGGAGGCAACCTTTCCCCTTTAAGGGCCGAGGGACTTCAGCTCCCAGAATCCCAGGAGCTATTGGCCAACATGGCTGAGGCTTCTGGGAGCTGAAGTCCCTCAGCCCTTAAAGGGGAAAGGTTGCCTACCCCTGCACTAAGCAGTACAAACACATGGGAAGAATATGTGCTCCTCTCAGTGGCAGCTGGTCGCTTCCATGACATGGGTGCTGGTGAATGGCCCAATCTTTAGTCAAAACTTTAATATAAAAGTAAATGTTGGGATCAGCACTTTGGATAGCTCCTTTAAAGTTTGGACTAAAACCCAAAGCAGATCCACTGAACTACTGACATGCAACCTACCAGCTACCACTGCTATGAGGTCCTTAATAGGGGAGTGGGTGTATGATCACATTTGCTCCTTGAAAGATTCCCTCAGGGGAGCGATTGGCAAATTCAGATCAATAAAGCTCTGTGAGTGAAGGGCGCACATGCTCTTTTAAAGGCTATTTTCATTCTGGTGTATTAACTGTATAAGCAAAAGGTTTTTAAAAATTAAAGATAAGCTTGCTTTCTAACCAGGAGTAGCAGTGTGTGCTTTATTCAATTCTAAATTACACTTGGAGAACCATTGTGACATAGTGGTTTGAGTGTTGGACTATGATTCTGGAGACCAGGGTTCAATTCCCTCTCATCCATTAAACCCACTAGGTGACCTTGGATGAGTCACATACTCTCAGCCTCAGGGGAAGGCAATGGCAATCCTCCTCTGAACAAATCTTGCCATGAAAACTCCATGATAGGATCTCCCCAAGTCAGAAACGACTTGAAGGCACACGACGACAGCAACAACAAATTACACTTAGCCTGCAATATCAAACAAAGGCAGATATATGGAGGGTTCAGAAATATGCACATTGATTTGAATTTAATGGATCAATCAGTTGAAAATAAATGTTAAAAAAATAAATTGAAAGGTGGATAGTCACTCAACCAGCATGCCTCATTGGTTGGCAGCCAATTTGAAATGATAAGATGTGAGATCTTAGGGCTCAGTCTTTTCAGATGCCCAGAGGCCACCCAGCATTTTGCCTGACTCATAATGACGCATAATTCTTGCATTGTCACAATGCTACCCTGAGAGTAGAATAGAGCTCTTCATCAAGGCAAGGGCAGGGCAAATACAATTCAGTCATACCTGTCCACCAAAGACACAGACCTGAAGATGTGAAACAAAATAATAGGAAGAAGACTTTTGGTGAGTCGCACCTGTCCAACTTCCCTGCAGATCTTGTTTCCCTCCTGAGGTGTTGATCCCACTTCTTTTCCCAACTTGTTGATTTTTCCCTTCCACCTACATCAGATTATTCTCTCTCACTCACCCTGGTCCCAGTATCAAATAAAGAAGAATCTTGCCATATTCTTAATTCCCCAACTATGTGGCCCCAACCCTTCATCAGAGTTTGTGTTTGTTCATAAGGAGTCAGATACTGAAACCCACTAACCGCCACTATACAAACCTGGCCATGCAGTGCCCTTGCCTCAATCTCTCAAGTCCACAACTGATTTGCAATTTTTTAAACAAAAAGATTAGCTTGCTACACTCTACAGTTGGCTCTCTGTATCCACAGATTCCTTATCCGTGGATTCCACCATCCACCGCTTGAAAATATTCAAAAAAACATATAAATTCCAAAACGTAAAACTTGATTTTGGCATTTTATATAAGGGACATCATTTTACGATGCCACTGTATTTAAGGGGACTTGCGTGTCTACGGATTTTGGGACACCATTCTACTATGGGAAACCATTGTATTTAATGAGAATTGTGTGTCTATAGATTTTGGGACACCATTCTACTATGGGGCACCATTTTACTATCCCATTGTATTTAATGGGACTTGTGTGTCTATGGATTTTGGGACACCATTGTACTATGGGACATCATTTTAGTATGCAATTGTATTTAATGGGACTTCAGCTTCTACAGATTTTGGTTTCCATGGGGAGGTCCAGGAACCAAAGCCAAATAGATACTAAGGGTCCCCTGTACTACACACTGAAGACTTTGCGTCCATATGAAGAAGGACATTGTTCACTGAGATATGTGGGCATGGTGGCCTACCTGGTAGGTGACGTGGACCTGGGATGTTTTTCCTTTTTGTCTATCTAGAGTCCATCTTATTCCCTACTCATCCCACCATGCTGCTGAAGTTGGAGTTAGGTGGCTTTGGGCAAATCTCTTCCCATCCCTCCCTGAGACTGATGTACCTCCACAGGGTCATTGTAAGGCAAAGGAGAGCCCGTTTCAGGAAAGGCTGGATATGATTGTAACTTAAAAATGAAATATTCCACCTGAAGACTACTTGCTTTCATTCATCACAGTCATCCGCATTGGAAGCTCTTTTTCTCTGTACTGTTGAAGGACCACTTCAAGGAACTCTTACAGGGACATTTGATTTCCATTACTGATCTTCTCATGAAAAAACCATCGGTAAGTTCCTGAGGAACTTCACTGTTCTCGAGAACAAAGGTTGAAAACCATTTTGGGTTATATCTCCCAGAATCCCCAAGGTAGTATAGCCAAGTCTAGGACCTGGAGTCCACTAAAGCTCTTTGAAAGCAGGGGTTGGGTGTTTCTGATAACATCTGGGAAGATCATCTGCAAGGGTTTATGACGCCTAATTGTTTACCAAGAATTGGAAAAAGGCCTCCTCAGTTATCTGAATTAGGTTTCTGAAATAAAGACATTTATGTGACTGAAATGGAAGTGTTGTTTTGTGTGGAAAAAATGGCAGGCATGGTTCAGATGCTAAAAAGTATCTCCTTCTTGACTTCCAGATCAGTGGGGTACTGAATTTACTCC